CCTCGCGTGCCCTCCCTTCCCCTCCCTCCCTCGCGCGGCGCCGCCATCTTGCAAGCGGATAACGAGAGGGGCTGAGCTCCGCCGCTGCCTCTGCCTCTCCCCTTCCCCTCCGGCCGGGCTGCCTTCTCCCGGGGCCGGGGGCCGGAGCCGGCAGGGAAGGCCTTCAGAAAGGGGTACGCCCGCCCACTCAGCCCACTTCAGCCGGCTGTGTGAGGACAGGACATCCCCTTCCCCCAGCGCTCTCTCCCCTTCCCACACAGGGTTCCGCCGCCTGAGGAAGGGGCTTCGTCGCCCTCCCTTCTGGGGCGCTGTGAGAGGGGGGCCCTCTTCTGGGCCGCCCCTCTCCTCAGTGACCAGGAGCTCCTCGCCGTCCGCCAGCCCTACAGGTGAAGGGAAGCGGCGTACTCTCTTCCACGCTGGGGGCTGCGGCATGCCCAGGCCTCTCCCCTGAGAGGAGGGAAGGGATCCTCAGGTACCCTGGGATGCCTGGGCGGGCTTCCCGTCCCAGGGCGTGTGTCACTCACGTGGAGGAGCTGAAGGAGTTGTAGGGAGGTGTGGGGTGGAAGGGTCGACCCTCTGCCGTTTAGCCCAGGGGGATGGGCTGATGCGGAGAGCTCTTCTGGGGCTGGGGAAATACCCCCTACGCACACCGTGGGGAGATGGGTGAGAGAGTTCAGTTCTCCAGCCCGTGGGGATCAATTTTTCACTATCGTGATTACCCCGACAGTTATTTCTGCCTTTGTTGCTTTATGTGTGAACATGCTCAATTTGTGGGAGTAGGGCCTCGTGTACCCAGTCCAGTAATTGTTGTGTTCATCATGATGTGTCTGTGTAGTTGTATGCAGCCTAAAAGAAAGGGAAGGAGTTTGTGGGCTGCAGCCTACTCTGGTGTGTGTATTCTGCCAAATTTGATGCACGCTTGTAAGATTTGTCCACCTCAGGCCAGAGGGTTATGGTCCCATCTACCCTTGTAGAGTCATGTCTTTACATGTCTAATAAAGTTTTGTGAGCTTGCTGTCATCCCAACACCTGTTTCAAGGTTGATACATCAATATAACTCCACCAATGCAAATTCCTTTCCCACCCCACACACTATAGCCCACTTGTTGCTGCTGAAGTACATCTGCAAGAAAGTCATTGACCTATGGTTATGTGAAGAGCTGTGTTCAGTGTTGCTTGTGAATGTCACTGTGTAAAATGCATCCCAAACAATAATTGGCAACCAACAACTCTTGTCTTTCAGCAGATCTCTTAACTCTCCTCATTTCCGTAATCTGTGGAGGAAAGGAGGTAACACAATTGGAAAAACACCCTGTGTTTTCAAAACACCATGTGGACATTTTTAGTTACGTCAAAAGTTGTCTCCACATTGTTCCCATCTAATCACACAAGCAGGGTGCTTTTGGGTGTTCTTCTGAGATCTAAAAGCATTTCTAGTAAATCCTCACTTTGCTGGGTTTAAGATGTATCTTTAGCACCATTATGTATATTTGACAGATGATGGCCATTAGTTAACAGCTGGGAGTTACAGAGAGTAAGTGTGCAGCAGAACAAAGGAAGAAACACTAGCTAAGAAATAGCTTTTTAATTCTTAAATTTTTGAGTACTTAGTTTGGGAGTGATACAGGGATATAGTTGAGCTGTAACCGTACTGCCTTCTAGGATTTAGGGTTTTTTAATCTTATTGTCTGAAAGCAAAGGCTGAAAGAGGTAGGGTCTTGCTTTGATGGTATAGGTTTTTATTCACAGTAATGGAGTGTAGCACAGCCTCTTCATGAAGAGATTTGTTGTTAGGAAGTTCCTGACTTTGGCTCAATTAAGAGAGTGAGTCAGGTACAGTTTCTGTGATGAGGTCAAACTGAGCAAGAATATATCTAGTTGCAAAGGTAGGCTGGATGAGTTTCTTTATAGAGCTAGCCAGCTGTAAGTAGGAAAACTGTTGTTTTTCTTCTAGATGCTGTTTTGGAGTACTTAATAGTTGATATACCGCCATTTTTTTGTAACAGATACATGTGACTATTAGATAATTACATTTCTCAGCAGGGAGATGTTTGCCAGGAAATAAGTTATTGATTTATCCTAATTTCTATTTGCTTTGTTTTGAATTATGCCTCTTGTATCTGATATTTTCAGTCCCTTATGTAATGCTAAAATGGATGACGAAGGATTGAACTCTTTATACAGCAGAAGTGAAATGCTGTAGCCTAGGACTTTTTGAGCTGAGTGCTACTTTGGTTTATCAGTGACTGCTGGTCAATGTGATTTTTTTTTTTTCCCCTCCCCTTATATTTGAACTAAGTGTTATATTAGAAGAAGTCATGAGAATATGGTGTTACGTAGAAGAATAAAAAGTGTCAGAATGGAGTCCCATCAAATCCTTGGCAGGATTAGTGGTTTGTGCCTTTATTTGGAAAATAAAATTGTATAGATTTCCTCTTGATATTTTTCTCCTGTTTTCACAGGAGAAATATTAGTATCAAAGAATGACAACTGCTTCACCAAGTGGATGCATTGTGCAAGAGGTCATTATTTACAGCTACCAGCTTTATTGAACTCTTCCTTACATTTCATCCTTATTTGTAAGTTTATAATTTATTGCAAAGTGACAGAAAGATACACGGCTATGGAAATACACTCTTCTAGCCAATTTAGCAGGGAGCCAGTTCCTGGGAACTCTGTTTAGCTCAATTCTACCTCTGACTGGCTTTGTGGTCTTGAAAAAGTCAATAAATGTTGCTCAGTTCTAGAAAATAAACTGGAGAAGCTGAGGGAAAAGAGAATGTGGGTTACTAGATGGATAAGCTGAGGAAAACATTAAAATAAAAAAAAAACCTAAGGAAAAAACCTGTTGAAGTTAGGAGGTTGTCTAGGGGGGAATCTTTGGAGGCCTCTATGGAGGTGTTCTGCTGGAGGGTATGTAAAGCTTGGGGGCAGGAGAAGGAAGGCGAGGCAGGCTGAAGTCCCCTTCTTTGTGCCATCCCATTAGGTATGCTGAGCTAGGTCGATGAAAATATGGCTTGTGGGTCCCAAGGTCCTGTGAGGATATATTCCTGGTACTACTAAAGTGGTGATAACGAATATCAAGGATGCTGGAAAATACTGGCTTATGGGAGACTCTTCGCTTTCTAAACAGAGAAAATTTGTTTCTTTTCTGTTTTTTAATGTTATGGCTTTAACAGACCTTTGATCTCTTGCAGTCTTTTAGAAGTGGAAAAACAACTTAGGTTTGATGTTTTGTGTGCCATCAACTGAAACTGGGGCCATCATGAATATAACCAAGGGTGGACTGGTGCTGTTTTCAGCTAATTCAAATTCGTCATGCATGGAACTATCGAAGAGGATTGCTGAGTAAGTAAAATCTCCTGCAGGGCAGCTTAGGATCTTGGTGTTGTTATGATGGGACTTAGTTTCCTAAAGACTGATTTCTCTGTTTAAGGAAAGTTACCTAGGAAGAGTGCCACGGTTTGCAGGAATGTCTAGTGTACTGTATTGCATACTGTATTTCAACAGATCAATAACAAAGAAAATAACTGGTGTTTAAATTGGTCGGTGGCAGGTTGTGATTGACTGCAGTATGTTGTAGAGAACGTGTGGGAAAAGTAATGTTTGGATAGTGCTAAATAATCATGGCAGAAGTTTTCATAATTTTCTCGTTCTGCTTGTAGTGGAGTTTTCTTAGAAGGCAAAACTGCTGTTCAGTGTATATTTTAGATTTGTTTAGCTTTGAATGCATGAACGCTGCAGCAGAACTTTTATGACTTAAGAAATTTTTTACTGTGCTGCTGGAGTAGTGTTAGGATGCATAACGTTACCAGGAGTACTGCACATGATGGGTTTCTTCCTGAGGCTTATGTACCCAAAGTTAGGTGTAGACAGGAGGAGAAAGGAGAGTGCAAAGGAACTGAAGTCGCGCATTGTAAGGACTTGGGCATAAGTGCACAGTATACTTGGTTATCTGCTTTTTTTTTTTAGTGGTGGGTGTCTGTGCTAATACTGAAGTGAAATAAACATAGCAGACATCAGTCTGCCACTAGTCATCAAATAGAGCTTGCTAGTATTTCCTATTCACTCTGCGTTGACATTTTTTCTACATAGAATGATTTAAAAGTGGTCTTTTAAGCATTGTGCATGTGTATATACATATATATGGCAACGTACAAAACATATATAGAAATATATATTAAAAATTAGAAATTATTACATAATTTAGTAATCAAGGAATTTTTTTTTCTGCTGCTCCTTCTGAGCTTGACTTGAAAATGAGTTCAGCTTAGCCTGCAGTGCAGCTTCTGGAAACTGTAGATGCTTTCTTAAGAAATTTCCACTATAATTACTGATTTTATGATTTGGGGGTTTTCTTTTCTTGGTTTTCTTCTGTGAAATATGGCCTTTTCAGTAACTGTTGCATAGTATGGGCTTTGCATTTGTTTTGCCCTTCATTTTCCCATATTGACTTCTATTTTTTCTTTTTTCTGCTCCTGCAGGCGTTTAGGAGTTGAGATGGGGAAAGTTCAGGTTTATCAAGAGCCAAACAGAGGTGAGCAGTTAATTGGCAAAACTGGAAACTTACCTAATTATGATGTGCATGTATTTGCTACCCTTTTCTTAGACTGTTGAGTTTTGCTATTGCAAATAGTACATATTTCTCTTCTTGGCAGAAACAAGAGTGCAGATTCAGGAGTCTGTGAGAGGAAAGGATGTATTTATCATCCAAACAGTTTCAAAGTGAGTAACTGTTTAAAGACACTGTGCTAGCATTTTGACATCAACGGTTCATAGGCATGATTTGTTTTTTTCTTCACATTTTATGTATGTGGTACAGTATAATAAGCTTAGATTAACTAGGTAGAGGCTTCTCTTTAGGGGTTGCTTGTTGTTATTGTTTAGGGTTTTTTTTGATATGTGCACAAAGAAGACTTCAGTGTAAGTTAACCTCTTAGTAGTTGAATTTTCAGTGAATATGTCAATGAAACTTTCCCCTGGGTCTCTGTATTCATTCGCAAAGTGCATTCTTTTGCTTATGTCGTTCTCTTTAAATTCTTCCCTTTTCAGCTACCCCATCTGCAGCACCATTATGAAGTTCTAAACGTAGGAGGAGCATTTCCTAGGCAATGTGTCCCGTGATTTAGAAAACAAATTCTTTTTCATGCAGAAAGAACTTTACAAATGCTAAGACATTTTTTCTAATGGCAACAGAAATAGAAGGTTCATGACCGGTTGTCATCTAAAAAAACCAACTTCTCAATCTTTTAATTTATGGCAGAAAATAGATGGTAACTGTTAAATATTTTGCCTGCTGTTGGCTTGAACAGTGGAGGAATATGTTGCAAAGTCTGAAACTTTTTTTAAAAAACTTATCTATATCAAAAAACATCTATTTTGTTTTGTGCCTGATAGAAACAGATGTTGGAGATAAATCGTGGACTACTTTGTTACAGCAACGTGCTGTATTACTAAAAGTATGAAAACGGTATAACAAAAACTGTTGAATTGCCAAAAATAAGTGAAAAAAATAATGAAGTGTAATTCCAATGAAGAATTAAAATGCTGGGTCCAGGGCACTTGCTGTCCCGAGGTGCACAGCTGGATTCTTAGCAAAGATCACTCAGTCACCATACTCTCTACTGCCCTGGAGTGAAATTCCTGGCGTGGGTTTAGATATTGTGTTGAATACAGGATTTTTGTGTGAGATACAGAACTATATGCTTCTTGTTCTAGGGATGTGAATACTACAATCATGGAACTCCTGATCATGGTGTACGCTTGTAAAACCTCCTGTGCCAAAAGCATTATTGGAGTGATTCCTTACTTCCCGTACAGCAAACAGTGCAAGATGAGGAAAAGGGGCTCCATTGTCTCCAAATTACTGGCTTCAATGATGTGCAAAGCTGGTAAGAATGCAGGATGTTATGAAATAATCAGGGCAACGGGGGCTCCTGCTGTCAGCTTTCAGGTTTAGAGAGGTCTGCGCACAAGTTGGGACTCTAAAAATAACTGCCAATTTTTTTTGTGAGTTTAAAACCCAGATAGAAAGGAGAATGTAATTAGAAATGTTTCCAAATGGTGAGTTAATAAAACCCCCAAACTTGTAATGGCCATTTTACATTGTGTCCTACTGAGCTGGCAAAATGAGTCTGCTGGCCTATGCTGCTGTGGGCCGTGGTATCCATACCTTGTAATGCCATTCTTTGCCTTTCTAACACTCTCAAACAGTTGTGCTTTGTCATTTTTCTAGCCTGTTTTTTACTTGTTGGATGAATGCACTTTATATCCTTTACATTTGAGGTGATGTGGGAGAATGAGGTTATTCATTTTCACAGCCTTCAACACATTTTCTTTTCTGCTTCTTTCCTTTTGCTCCTGTTCCTGGGAAAAATGGACAGTTATAATGAACACAGTGTGATCTGGTTTCTTATTTTAAGAGAAGTGTTTCAATGATGAGAGTTTGGGTCCTTTTTTTCAGGAGTTCAGGACTCTAACGTTAGCTGTGCCACAGTCTTGCTATGTGGCATAGGACAATTTATCTTATTAGTGCTTCCATTTTGTCACATGTCAGGTGGAGAAAGATCTTACCTGCCTCAGTGTGGCACTACTGAGTCAATTATGTAGAGTGTTCTGAGATTCCTTTAAAAAAGACACTGTAGAAGTCTTGGAACGTGATAATGCCGCTGTACTTAACAGGGACATAGTTAATATGCTACATGCTTTCACTAAGTATAGTATTGTTGTTCTAATGCAGCTTAGAGATTTTGTTCTGGACAAACTTCAATTAAACTAACTAGCCAACTAAAGAGTGTGTCTGTTCTCTTACTTTTTTTGATGTGCTTATCCATATGTATCTTTTTTTTTTTTAAAAGGACTAACTCATCTTATTACCATGGATTTACATCAGAAGGAAATACAGGGCTTCTTCAATATTCCAGTTGATAACTTGAGAGCATCTCCATTTTTACTACAGTACATCCAAGAAGAGGTGAGGAAGGCCTGCTATTACAGTTGGGTTTTTTAACTATCTTTTTGTCGTGTCTCAAGGCTTCTGAAACAAATTCGTGTGAAAAGACTAGCTCTTCAAATAGAATTTTAAAGGGAGAAAGGTCATGTTGGGGCAAGAAGTGTTTTTGGGACAGTTGATTCTTCCCCACAGGCTTAAGTTTTCATTTCATGAAGAGCTGGCATTTTCTTATCCACGCAGTGATTCTGTTGTTCTTCGATATATTGCCCTAACTAGTATTAAGAAAAGAGGATTTTATTGCTCTTGATGTCCTCTTCCTCCTCTATTTCCAATTTCCTTGGCATTTATAGGATGGACTGCTTGTGTAGGTGTAATTTATATCACATTATGAAAACACATTGGAAGTTAAATTGTAAACAGAGCCTATCGATCATACTCAGACAGTAAGAACAGATGACTTCTTGTGTGGAAATCTTCACTTGCTGTTTGTTCAGCATGTCTTGACTTGAGGAGCTTAACTTCTGATGTTCTGTGCATCCATTTCTCCATCTTATTTTTCTAAGTGCTTTGAGAAGTGCTCCTGGTGGATTCGTATATACAAATTGTGCAAATTATAATTGTAGGTATAAGATGCATATTATGTCTCTGACTAATGATAATTTGGAATAAAGCAAATGCTTTCTTCCTGGTGAGAGAAAAGGTGTAGCTCACTCTTACTTTTGAATCCAAGCTATTTCCTTTCATGGAGATATAAATGCTCCAACCAAAAAAAAATAAAAACCCAACCAAAAAAAAATCCCCAAAAACCCCCAAGCCAAATTAAAGTGGTTTTGTTATGACAGTTATGACAGTGTTGAAATATGTTTGGGGAATCACTTACCATTTGAATCTGTCGTTATCTTTTAATTTGGTACTAAAGGATGATGGAACAAAACTCTGGGCTCCGGCTTTGCCACAGACATTCATCTTGTATATATATAGGAGAGAAGTATGGCACATCGTAAGCACTTAAGTTAAAAAAGAAAAAAAGTGGCAAAACAAACATGCAGGCACAAGACAAGTCATGCCTTTATATGTTGCTTGAATGTATGGGTTATGGTTAATAACGAGATCATGTTTGTGGTTTAGTCTTGAAACATGTTTTGATACATGAGCTCTTAATGGTTTACAAAGAATTGTTGCAGCTTTGAGTCTGGTGCTGCTGTGCGGTCTAACAAATGAATATTTGTAGAGATCTGCTGAAGTATGTGTAGAGAGGTCTTAGAAGATACTTTCAGTTTTTCATTTCTTCATTCCTTTGCTCGTCCATGAGATGACTTGCTAAAACTAAAGTTGACTGAATGTGTCTGATCACATGGGATCTATATTGGCAAGTACCTTCACCACCCAGGTCACTTACAGTATCTTTTCTTAAAAGTTACATCCAGTGCTACTCAGGAAGAATTTATTACTCATCTGAAGTTCATGGTGGCAGCAGCTCATTGTATATCCCGCATTGTGAATACCAAAGTATGAAAAATGTTTCAAATGGATGTTGTGTTGGGGTATATTGAATAGCATGAAATAGAGTCCAGCTTGGTAAGCATGGAGGTCACTTAAAAAGCATTTAACTGAAAGTTAAGAGGATCAGGGCTTGTAGTTGTTCCCTCTTGGGAATTTATGCATAGGTGTGAAGAGAGTTACTTGGTGTTCTGGGATGAAGACAGTTCTATCAGTGAAAATAGCGTGGTATAAAAATAATTTGATGACCTTCCTTTGTATGCTTAGCAAATGTTCAATACTTAGCGTCTTCTCTCTTTCCTATGCGTACGTGTTAACCTTAGAGTGACGTAGCTCTTTGTTACAAGGAGTTCTTGATGTCTTAGTATCTTTTTGGATGACATTTCTGGCTTTCTGACTTCATTCTTAAAGAGCTGAGAACAAATTTGATAATTTGGCAGGGGAAAAATGAGACAGTGAAGTCTGAACAAGATCAAAGCCTTTATTATGTCAAGTGACAGGCCCTGCCTTGTCCATACCTTCCATCATGTTAATCTTTATAGCCTGTTGTATAACTGAGTGTTTGTAAAGGACAGAACATGCTGAATTCCCAGTATTATAGGTGGAGTTGGTAGCATTGCAGGTTATTAATGCTGCCTGACACGTCCTCAGAAAAGCTCTTGTTTTCAGTGGTTAGGCCCATGCCTAAATTCAGAACTTATTTTTTTCTTTCCCATGCCTCTTTCAGGTAGAGTGCTTTTGGAAATACTCAGCCAGTTTGGTTTGTGTGTTTGAGGATAATATTGTGGAAGAACTTGCTTTGCTTGTGTTTGGAAAAAACCCAAGTATTTCTGTGCTCTGGAACTGGTATTTGACATCTCACAGCAAGGCAATGAACTGCACGTCAGGGTATTATCCCACCAAATTTGTGAAATTACAACTGTAACAGATCAATTTGTAGGTATTCAGTAGAGTCTTCTGTGCCTTAGTACTGGGATTCTGAGAATTGGATCTGCTCTGTAGGGCTTTGTGTGCTGTTGCAGCTGAGAGTGGCTGTGGGCTGTCGTTATGGCAGCTGATAGAAGGACAGGCGGGTTTTCTGTATGCTGCTCTCCATGGCAGACAGATTGTCCCAGGGCAGCACAGTGAAGGAAAATGCTGAGTTTGCAAGGAAGGGGGCAAGATGCGGTCTTAGAGGGAGCATAGATTGCTGTTGGAAAGGAGGACTGGAACTGCAAATGGTGGAATGCTTGAGAAAAATTTATGGACAAGGAAAGACAGGTCTGATGCGGAGCCAGTGTTTGCAGGGAAAACAGGGACTAGGATAAGAAACCTTGAGAGATGGGGACTAAAATGCTGGGTAAATGGAGAGAGGGAGTCTGGGATGAAAAGCCAGTATGAGCAGGGGCAGCAGACTTTGGAGTAGACTGTGCGTATGAAGACCAACTGAAGTACCCATCAGACCTTGAAATGAAACTCAGACTTCTTGGCCCTACCACTTTGCTGCTGTCGGCATTTGCAGCAGCATCCTGTAGTGCTGATCTGCACAGAAGGCAGTTTGCAGCGATATCAGACTGTGATTGCTGGATCAGTGCAGTGAATGCGGAATTTTTATCCCTTTTGATGCTCCATATAAAGAGTCAGTATGATGTGATGGAGAGGTGTTAATTTTTTTGGTGTACTCTGAAGAACAGCCCTAAAGCTGTGAAATAGATGAAATGCTATGTTTTCAAATGATTAAAGACTGCCATGTGCACACACAAGACAATTTAAGTTGAACAGGAAACTTAAATTTTGATGGTTTCCTGTTTCTTTTAACATTTGTCCTCGTAGCCCTGATGATCTTCTAAAGCAGCTACATTTTTGTAATCTGTAACATAACACGACGTTTATGAAAGGTACAATTTCAAGTTAAAATCTGAATTTTCGAAATACTTGTTTTTACTGAACTGTGAACTCTGATCATGTACCATGGATTCTTGAGGTTGCTTTCTTAGATAGGTAAAATGTTCAATGCTTAAAATTCTTCTGGCAAAATAAAGTTCTCTGATTCTTACTGAGTTTAAGTTTGTCTAAGGATATGAAGTAGACATTGCTATCTGTTATTTACTACAGATACCAGACTACAGGAATGCTGTAATTGTGGCCAAATCACCTGCGTCTGCAAAGAGGTGGGTAAGATCTGCTCTCTTGTGTTAGAGCAGGAAATCTCTATTGTGATTTTGTTCTTAGGATCAAGTGAAGGAATAATTCAATAATTAGAAGCAGCAGCCTTCAAACCCCTCCCAATTCTACTTTGTCAGATATGTAGCTTTTACATCATCACTAAAATCATAATCTAAGAGTTAAAAAAAACCCCAAACAAACAAAAGGATGAGTTAAATCAATACAGTGGTTAGGATAAAGAAGATATTTAATCATATTATATTTGTGTGCATTTACATTATAAATTTCCTGCTGTAAATGAAGAAAAATGGCTGGAAGTACAGTGCTGTTAATCCAAAGTAATTGCTTAACGTGGTCACAACTTAGAACGTGGTTGATCAGATCCTAAATACACATGGCTTACATTCTAGCATGGTGAGACAGAATTTGATGTTTGAGATGATTTTGATTGTGAAGTCCTTGTTGGCTGAATGACTTCTTAATCCATGAAGCTTTTTCGTTGACTATTCCTCAACCCTTTGGAATGACACTGCTCTCAACAGGTCGTATAATAGTTGGATGATGGTTTTAAGAGATACTGTATTTGCTGTGGTGACAAACTAATAGTTTGTTGAAAAGTTAGCTAGACTTTCATGCCAAGGAATCATGATGCTCTTTGTAAGGAAGGTTTTTGTTATTTTATATAGCAAATCAGAAATGCTTTAATTTGTAGAAGTATAGTGAGGGGAACTACTTTTGTCATCTTTGTTTTCCAGCAGTACTTTTTATGTGATTTCTTTTGTTTCGGCCAGTTATTTTACATTTGCTTGTCTTTGACTGTTTCTTTTACTTTGTGTCAGTATTGCCTCTTGGGTGTAGGCAGGATTTTGTGGAAGCATTTTTGTGCTTGTCAAGTAACTCTGCATGCCAGCAAACAGTCTACACATACCTTGAACTGATCAGACAGATAAGTAGCACACGTAATTGATTTTTGTAGGAGAGGATCCCAGAACTGTATTGTTTAGCTTCTTCATGAGTACATGTGAGCATTTAAAAGCAGTATTTGAGGAGGTACACTGTATTTGGGAAAGGGTGATTGAATGTTTCAGCCTAATCAAGGAAAACACTTTTCAGATGAGTGCCTACTTGTGAAAGAGAACCTTTGCTTGATGAAGTTCAGAATGTTTCTGTGGTTTCTGAGCTCACTGGAAAATGAATAAATCATTTTACTGTTACTTTGAACTTTATTCAGTTTAATATTGCATTTTAAAGTAATTATTATGGTTTCGTTGATAGGATTATGCCTTCTAAGTCATAACTCCTAATGTTTGGAATCATAATTTATCTGTAATTAACTACTGGAAAAAATACCCTAACTATGATAACCACAGAGCAGAAGATTCTTCATTTTTAATTAACTGAGCACCACAACAGGCATGTTATTCTCTGGACTTTGAGTTGTTTGGATAGTGAAATGAGGCTTAAGTGTAAAGGAGGTGATTCAGGCCACAGATCTTAGATGCTAATGTTAGAACAAAGTGACTCACTCTGGACGTGCCAGGCTCACGTTGACCAGAAGGAGACTAGATGACTGACTTAGACTAGATAAGGAACTCCTGAGTGTGCAAGGTAAGGTAGGATGAATCTGCTAATGTTTACTTGCTGCTTCCAGTATCTGGGATATAAGCACTGTCTGAAATTCCTATTTTCCTGACTCTTTGCTTTCCCCACTCCCCCAGCTAACCTTACACTTCATTACACAAATTTCTGATTTTAGTCAAAGAAATACTGTGTGGTGAAGGAACTTTCTGTAAGCTTGTAAGAATCCAGGCTGTTTAAATTTGAAGTGTGGTTTGTTAGGCAAAATGATTGTCTGGATTCTCTTTTCTGAGGGATATCTAAGGTTATGTGTCAGAAGGTCAGGGATATTGTCTTTATTTAGTGCACATCTTGCTAAAAATAAATAGGTGGACTTGTTTTCCATTTTCATGGGAATATTTTTTTCCTTTTAAATGTAGACAGTCCAGACATCTAGGCTATTCTTGGTTACTGTTAGATGAGACCTGCTAAAGCATGGGATCTCAGGAGTGCTGAAGGCTAGGAAATGTTTTGGTGTTTGGTTTTTGGTTTTGTTTTTTTTTTTTTGTTTTTGCTGTTGGGCAAAACAGAAGGGAGTAATCAGAATTATGTGACTTGCAGGGTTTATCCTATTGCTTCAAGGCCAGTATGGGTACTTTCAAGGTTATTCTGACTCCTCACAAGCCTGGTGAAAACAAGATACTAAGGGGGAAGTAGCTTCTTCTGTATGTTTTCCTGAAATTTTAGTATCATTCCATCTTTCCTCTGAAATGTTAGAAATAAAATGGAAGTCGTTTAGGATTGTATGTATGTGAATTATTATAATTTTAATGTATTTCTGTTTGTTTTCACCCTTTCCCTATAGGGCACAGTCATTTGCTGAGCGCTTACGGTTGGGAATTGCTGTGATTCATGGGGAAGCTCAAGATGCTGAGTCTGACATGGTGGATGGTCGACACTCACCACCTACAGCCAAAAATGTAGCTGCTATTCATCCCAGTTTGGAGATACCCAGTAAGTAAGTTTGTGTGTGAAAGTGTTCACCTATCATTTTTTGGTTTGGGGAATGGGACTGGCAGTGATGGACCATCAAAAAGAAGTGATTCTTATAAAAACAGTGGGGGGGTGGGGGGAAGATTCCTTTTTCATAGTGTCGTAGAATGGTTTGGGTTGGAAGGGACCTTAAAGCCCATCTAGTTCCACCCCCCCCTGCCATGGACAGGGACTCCCTCCACTAGATGACCAAGGATGTCATATCCACTAGACCCAGGTTGCCCAAAGCCCCATCCACCCTGGCCTTGAACACTGCCAGGGATGGGGCATCCACAGCTTCTCTGGGCAACCTGTTCCAGTGCCTCACCACCCTCACAGTGAAGAATTTCTTCCTAATATCTAATCTAAATCTCCCCTTCTTCAGCTTAAGGCCATTATGCCTTGTCCTATCACTCCATGCCCTTGTAAACAGTCCCTCTCCAGCTTTCCTATAGGCCCCTTTAGGTACTGGAAGGTGCTATAAGGTCTCCCTGGAGTCTTCTCTTCTGCAGGCTGAACAACCCCAACTCTCTCAGCCTGTCTTCATAGGAGAGGTGCCCCAGCCCTCTGATCATCTTCATGGCCTCCTCTGGACTTGCTCCAAGAGGTCTGTGTCTTTCTTGCACTGGGGACCCCAGAGCTGGAAACAGTACTCCAGGTGGGATCTCACAAGAGCGGAGTAGGGGAGGAGAATCTCCTCCCTTGACCTGCTGGTCATGCTGCTTTTGATGCAGCCCAGGACACAGTTGCCTTTCTGGCTTGCAAGTGCACATTGCTGCCTCATGTTGAGCTTCTCATCCACCAACACCCCCAAGTCCTTCCCCTCAGGACTGCTCTCAGTCCATTCTCTGCCCAGCCTGTAGTTGTGTTTGGGATTGCCCCGACCCACGTGCAGGACCTTGCACTTCTCCTTATTGAACTTCATGCAGTTCTTGCAGGCCCACCTCTCCAGCCTGTCCAGGTCCCTCTGGACAGCATCCCTTCCCTCCAGCGTGCCGACTGCATCACACATGATTTTGATGCTCTTTGTCCATGGTTTTAGTGCCAGGCTGTACGAGAGGTTTGTCCCCTGTGTAGGAGTGGTTGTGTCATTGCAGGCAGTCAGAAGAGTCCCTGGCAGAGAGGCCCTGCTTTTTGCCATTTACTTTTTCTGTTGGATTTTTTTCTGGAGGACAGAGCTAATAAGCTGAGCTGACACTGGGTCTGAGTATAGCGCTCTGTCATGCGCCCTGACAGAGTAACCTTGCTGAATGTGGATGTGATCTCTAGCTGCACCAGCAAAGCTTCATTGCATAAACCTAGCTTGGATCTCAGTAGATGATGAAACTGGTTTTGTCTGCAAGCCACTCTGTTCTAAAATTAAGAATTAATTGAATTGTTCAAGAATTTGGGTGTAAATGTATCAAAATACTGCTGGTTTTTTCTCAGTAATGCTATGATGGTTGAAATAGTTGTTGCTTTACTTCTCTCTATAGCAGTGGTGATCCAGCAAAGCAGACATTTCCACACTTGAAGTAAATTGTGTAAACTTTTTCTTTCTCCTTTCTACCCCTCTAAAAAATTTGCCATTGGTCAGTGCTGATTCCCAAGGAAAAACCACCCATCACAGTTGTTGGAGATGTAGGAGGAAGAATAGCTATCATTGTGGTAAGTAAGATACCATAGCTTTTGATAAATTACGTGAAGTATGTTAAAGTTGCAGAAATCAAGTAGATTTTCTGCTATATCAGCAGCTGAACTTTGGTTGATGATGACCCTTCAATACTGTGCTTTTTATACCACATGGCGGTATTCTGCACGCTTACTGACGCTGACGGAACTGTGAAGTGAACCATGCTGAAAAGCAGCATTTGGACCTTGTTTCTGTGAATAGGCCAGATAAATTTCTGATCAGTTGCTTGCCTGAAGGTGAGGAGTTTCAGGTGGTGCTGATAGAGCAGATGAGGGGAGGGTCATCATGTTTCTATTCTGTGAATTTAGAAATGCTGGTGATGTAGATAAGATGCAATCTTAAGGTTTCTCTAAAGCAGAGTGTAATTCCCAGGCTTGTCATGGAAAAGGATAATTTTCTATTTGGTTTTTCAATGAGTGTCAGTTGACTTTGCTTTTCCCTCGTCCCCTCATGGAGCAATCCCTCTCCCCCTTGATGTTGCAGTAGTTTTGGACACTCTGCTTTTCTGCTCTTTCACACTTATATCTAGCTCAGGTGTCTGAAGAACAGCATCAATAAAAATGTCTGTTTTGTATCAGCTGTAAACTGTTACACTTGAAAAAAATGTAACATCAATCTGGGTGTGCTGTGTTCGTCTGTCTTGAGGACATGCTGAATCTTCACTGACTTGATCTTCTCTTGACAGGATGACATTATAGATGATGTTGACAGCTTTCTTGCTGCAGCTGAGACCCTCAAGGAAAGGGGGGCTTACAAGATCTTTGTAATGGCCACACATGGCCTCTTATCTTCAGATGCTCCCAGGCTGATAGAGGAATCTGCAATCGATGAAGTAAGCATGGATTCTGAATTTCTGATGAAATGGGTTTGGGGTTTTTGTAAGGAAGCAATTTTCTCCTGGCTTGATTATTAAAATATACTGGCATGAAGAATTTAGCTGGGAGGTTCCTGGGTTCAGGCTTTCTTACTGTGGAATTGTATGCTAGAATATTGGCATCTACACTTCCTTAAACTCTAGCAGTGGGAAATTAGGAAAGTAGTGAGATGACGGACTGCCACTATTAGCAGACTTTTCCCCTCGGTGTGAGGGATATTTTTGTATCTTCCTTTGGACCCACGTGGCAGAATGAAAGGGAGGAAGGACGGTGCCATTAGTATCCCTGGATGCATGGACATTCCCTTTTGCAGTTCTGATATGGGAGGTGGAAAACCTAACAGAGCTATGTCTTTCTGATCATTTTTTTTCTTTCTGTAGGTGGTTGTTACAAACACAATTCCCCATGAAATACAAAAACTCCAGTGCCCTAAAATCAAGACTGTGGATATCAGCATGATCCTCTCAGAAGCCATTCGCAGGATCCATAACGGGGAGTCCATGTCGTACCTTTTCAGAAATATAGGACTGGATGATTAATGCTTTTTATTCTGAAGAAACACCCCGGGCCAAACTGGAAGCGAACAGATAATGAGCTGTGAAGCATCATGCTTACCTTAATATTTCTGTTGAGCCACTTCTTGTTTTCTCTTGGTTTAAGTATCAAGATAGAACAGTTTTTAAAAGCTTCTTTTTTTTTTTTCTTTCTTTGCAGGGTTGTGGTTTTTTTTGGAGGGGTGGGTGGGGAATAAACATTCTACAAAAACCAGTTCTAGTTGCTTTTAGGTTAGTTGCACTATATACATGATGGAAAAAAAACCCCACAAAACACTTGAGGCAAGAATTTGGCTTCTAAATTAAGCATTCCTTTTCCAAAGCTGCTTGCTACAAGTGCTTTAAAAGATAATAAAATGAAGTGACTGTATAATATTTGCATTTTAAAAGCCAAAAAGGTTGTACTGTTGTATGCAGTTCAGTGATTTTGTAGGAGTGCTTTTATAGAAAAGCATATGAAATATACACCTGTATTTATTTTCTGCGACAAAGAATAAAGATTTGTTTTGTGTGAGCTTTCTAAAAACGCTAATGTTCTAGTCACTTGTCTTCTAAAGTGTGTCCCCTTAGAAAATGATTTGCAGGTAATGCATTACTGAAAGAAATCAAGAGGTGAATTGATTCTTTTATGTTTCTGTGTTACTTTGGAATATGAACAGGCTTCAGGTTTCGTGGCAGTGAGGAGAGTAATGTGCATTTTGCTTGTTACAGTGAAACACCTGCAGACCAGGAGGAGAGGCTGCTTTTCCCCAATACTGCCGCTCATTGTCATTTTTCAACCTGTCTTTTGCTGAGCAGTCTTGTAAAACGCAAAATACAACTTTTCACATCCAGGTGCTGGTGCTGTCACAAAGGTTTTTAGATCAGCTGTAATTGGGCAGAGTGCACTTCCTGTGTGCCGCTTCGCTTCAGGGAATGCGGGAGGGAGCTGAATCTATGGCTGGATGTCAAAGAGCAGGGAATTGGGAATATTGTGGTTCCAGAGGTTCCAGCCGGTAAAATCCGAATCACCTCATCACAGGTAAATGTTTTTTCAGAGGTTTGTACCTGAATGCATGGATGAGTTAAAAAAAATATGGCCATGGTGTAGAGCTGAACTTGTTCAGGTTGGTTTTCCCAACGATCCTCAGGTACACGTGTGTGGAATGGCCTGCAGGCTGCCACACCGAGCTTCCAGTCTCTGAGACTTGAAGTTCCTGGCCCTTTGCAGAGAAAACAGTGGTGGAATTAATGAGCGTTTAGGGGTGGTTTGGTCTAATCTCAATCAGAATGTCCTGTAATGAGTGTAAAACCTTTGGCATGTCAAAAGCCAGAAGTGAAATTAACCTTTGTTGACACCATTTCTCTCTGCTCCGGACAAACTTCCAAGGGCTTTGGAAGATTGATTTGCTTTTAAGGGTAAAACTAGGGGGGTTTTTTCCTTCTGTTGTCTGTCTTGGCACAGCACTGGGAATGATGAGGCCTGGACTGTGGCTAGAAGGCCTAGATCTCGCTAATAGATAGTACTGATCTTGTTGGTACGTTCATCAGGTGAGGTGGTGATTTTATTTAAGCAACTGCACATTTCAGATAACACCGTTCTTCATTCTGTGAGGTTATTTTTCCCAAGATTATTCTGTTTGATTTTTGCAGTCCTGTCCAGAGAGGTACGTTCTCTCTATGAAATGACAAAACGCAAGGCTGTACCTGGTTGTACTTTAATGACAGTAGGTTATTAAACACTTCAGTGATGTTAATAGATACACCAAGCTGATGTATTAACACTCGTACGTACTTTGAATGTGTTAATGCAGGTTAAATTCCAGCTCAGTTGTGCGGGACAACTCCATTTCCTCTCCCAAGTGCGCAGACCTGCTCCTTTCAAAGAGAGGAGAAATACGCTGACCTCAGTGATGGGCATACTAGTTGCGGTGTATTTATTTTATTAGTGAGACCTTGTGATCTTCACTACGGTTGGAAAGTGTGCTGCCACGTGAAAATAAGTCAGTGCGACGAACAGTATGGTTACTAAATACCCAAACACATTAAATTGCGATGTGGTTTCCTGCTGCTTGTTTGGTGTTGGCCTCGGAGGAATAGCTTTCTCTTCCGTGAGCATTTCTGCTGGTCAGCCTTGCTGGTGTGCCGAGGCTCCACCTCGGGCCTTCACCGAACTCCTGGGTCTGATCGTTGCTTTAGCATGTAGAACCCCCCCAACTTTGCCTAGTTTTGTGCAGTGCGATTACCGTACTCGTTCAGACGCAATAATTTGGGAACAGTCCCAGTCGTGAGACTGGATTGTGGGTCCTTTGGCTCTTCGTAGTACTGGAGTGGATGAAAGGGAGCAAAGCACGTATGACTCCACTCGGACGTTTTTCATTACAGCATATAACTGCAGAGCTACCTAATCTCTACGTGCTTTTCCCAGAAGCAGGAATCCCCAGAAATGCCAGCTATTCTTAGAGGTATTTCTCTGGGATCCTTCAAATGTAAAGATCACTTTAAACCCCTGCTTTGTTCAGCAATTTCTACAGTAATTAACTAGGCAGAAGATCATGCAAATTCTTTGCAGACTCCGTAGTATCTGCGAGAAAAATACTGGTGTTTGGTTTTGCAGCTTACAGAAGAGAAAAGCCTTGGCAGGTTCTCGTCCAGCAATATCTGGATTTAAGGCACCTTTGCAAGAGGCTGCCCTGAGAAATGCATGAATTGTAGGGGCAGCTGGGACTGGAGCTGCAGCTTCTGCAAGACTGATGCAGAAGAAGCAGAAAACTCCGAGGAAATGGGGATTAAACAGCTGTTTGTCTGCCAGACACCGAAATCGAGAGGCGTTGTCCTGGCCTGTGCTTCCCTCGGTGTGGTGGGGAAGCTGAAAGGGGAGGCAGGCAGTGCCCAGCCAGGCTGCCCACCCAAGCGCCTGTGGAAGCTCCTACTGCCGGCTTGTTTAATGATAAATGCCACCAAGCCGCTGACAAGTTACTGATTCAGTGACTGACTGTGTGAGGACTTTGCTGAGGATGAAGGAGGCGGCAGAGGAATGATGGAGGGCAATTCCACTGCTGGATCCTTTACCCCTGCACAGCAGTTCAGCGTTGCTGACCTTGTTGTTGTAGTGGTTTATTTTTCCTTAAACGTTGCAGTGGGAATATGGGTAAGAGTGTTTTCTCTTGTTCGCTTTCTGCTTTTCTTTCTGAATAGTCTTTTCTGGTTTTGGTTTTTGTTTTGTTGTTTTGGTTGGTTTGGTTTTTTTTTTTTTTCCAAACCTGGCTTTTCTGCATGGAAAAATTTGAAAGCCTCTATTATTTTCCTGTCATAGTTCGCACTTGTTACGTATTTTGTGTGTCGTGCTGCATTTGCTCTGTTCTGTTGTACAAACCCTCTGCTCCTTCCCCCCGCCCCATGGAAGGACTGAGAACGAGGTGGAATTAACCACAGCACAAACCTCTCCCCTGGTCTGCTTGGGTGTAAGCAGATCTCCCGCCTGTCTATTAAAGGGTGCTGAGACAAAAGACCTGCTTAACACAAAAAGCCCTCAGCTACCCACGGTTTCAGACAAAGGCTCTCAAAACCATTTATTCTGCCTTGCAGAAAAATCATAGCCAAAACCGAGACCTATTAGCCAACCTGTCTGCGCGGGATGGAGGTAGGATGGGCGCATCCTCCGTGCTTCCCGCTCTCGGGGTGCCTCCTTTGCTATTCATGGCTCCAGGTACTCGGGGTGCAGCCACCGTTTCGTGTAATTAAGCTCGAGCTGCAGAGCTCCCATTAATTATCCAGTCTCCTGTCTCTCGGTTTCTCGTCTGGGAGACTTGGTTCTTGGTGGCTTGTCTGGGTTTGCAGGGAAAGGGTGCTCCGTGCTGATCTTTTCTCCTCCCAGTCTTCATGCAGGGTGAACAGGAACACCGTCAGTGGCTACTTCCTTGCTGGCAGAGACATGGCATGGTGGCCAGTAAGTAGAGACCTCTGTCCTGTTGTGACACCCTGGGCAGCAGGGACATCCAGCACCATTCCCCCTCTCACCGAATTACCTCTTTTGCGCCCCTGCTTTCTCCACCACGTGCCCACACTTGCCCCCACCCTGCACACCTCCTCCTGCCAGGATTCGTGTCCTCCGAGCTGCATTTCCCTTCTCGTTGCACAAAGGGTGCTGGAACCCACCTCGGGTCTCGTAGGCTGCTCTGAACTTGGGGAAGGGTTTTTGGAGTCAAACCTCTATCTCCACCGGCCCTGTGTGTTCCTGGGGGCTCCAACAAGACATGGGTTTCCCAAGTGTCTTTTTCCCCTCCTCTTATTTTGGTATGATCTTGACAAAGTGGTTGTAGGTCTTTCCCCTGTCTGGCACTAGCTACTTGCACAGAGCCACCTCTGGGTACACTGTGTGGCTACTGTGGCAAATGCAGCAACACGTGCCTCCTTCTCATCCTCCTGAAGACAAGAAAGTCCATCCAAAACCCACCGGAGATGCCCAGATGAGCTGAATGCACAAGAGTGCTGGTTGCTCAGACTCACGTCTACCTGGATGGGAGTTGTAAAGGATTTTTCTTGCAAAATACGTACACGTCCCTCATCACACATGGTGTATCTTTGGCCACACTTTGCTTTTAGAAGTGTCTGGGAGGTCAGATGTTATTTTTGCTGCCTCCTCTTACTGAGTTATCCCCTCGGGGCTGTGCTGCTGGGGAAGCACCAAAGCTGGTCCAGCTGGCATGACTGCTGTGCCAAGCTGTGGGGTGCCGGTGGCCGGGCACCCCAGCTGTGAGCATCCGCAGCACCTCCTCTGCTCCTCCGCAGATTGGCGCCTCTCTCTTCGCCAGCAGTGAAGGCTCAGGGCTCTTCATCGGGCTGGCTGGGACTGGTGCTGCTGGGGGAATCGCTGTCACCGGCTTCGAATGGAACGTAAGAAATGTATCACGTTATTAAGAAAATGAGTTTCCGGAGCTCGGTAGCAGCAGATGGCCCATTTCACAGCAGCTTCATGCAATGTCTCGAAAGGCTGGGGAGGAGTCATGCAGGGGGTAATTAACACAACCCTGCTAACTCAGCTTCTCCGGCTCACGTCTAGTGCACGTACAGTGAGTTTCTAGTCAACTCAAGCCCATGTGCTCAGGGAAACGGACATTTCAGAGCAGAGCTTCCTAGTCCAGCCCCTGCACGACCCTGAAAGGGAGATGGCTGAATAGGTCACCCATTCCCTGCTTCCCCACCTGTTGATTCCAAAGTCCTTGGGTTCTGCAGCAGAAGTATGGCAATTGGCTTGCTTAGTGATCAAGGAGTTGGTGGGAAACATCTGGTCTGGAGCTGAAGGGCTGAGGGGAGCGGGCTCCTGTTGGCAGGGGTACTGGGAGGGTCTCCACCATGGCTTTGTGCCCCCATGCCTGCCTTCTGAAACCATTTGGGGATGTAAATGTGCGCTTGAGGGTGAGCCAGGGCCAGGTCAGGAGTGTTGGACAGGGTCTAGCATTGCAATTAATGTCGAGCTGCAGCAGGATCAGTGTTTTTTCTGGCTGTGCCATGTTCTTCCTTCTCCACAGGCGACTTACG